CAGTGTATTTCCGGTGTGGTGGTTTAATAAAATATGTTTATCTGTTATGCCTCTATTTTACATCAAGCATATACTGTCTAAATGAAAACCTTTCTTATGGTCTTGAAGGAGGATTTCTTTGTTGAACCAGTTTTAGCATCCAGGCCTGCAGAGGGCCCTAACAATACAAAATGTGACATCATAAAGCATCACCGTGTGAAATCACACTTAGAAGACCAGTGAATTAAACATGTTGGATGAGTAACTTCTCACTACTTACTTACTACTCTCACTAGTAGTAAGAGCTTCAGTAGGAGATGTATTAGCAGTAGCTGTAGTGGTAGGAGTAGAGTGGTAGCAGTGGTGAGGAAGTATCTATCTATGCACTCCACTACCACCAATTAACAGACGTTGGAGTAATTCAGATGTACAGTATGAGCCAAGTACCAACCAGAGCTGTTTAACTATAATTAAGGCACTGTGTGACTGCTGTTATTAAATATTTGTTGTTCCAGGTGGATGGGCACACTGTGTTGAGTCGCAAACACTGAGCAGCAAAACAAGTGCAGTTGCCATGGTTTCTGGTGTGTTCTCCAGCTGTTTTGTCCTAACAGTTCACCTGCTTCCTAATAGAGCTCTCTGGGAATTGCAGTTAATGTTGATAGAGCGCAAAACTTTTTTTTTTCACAATATCTTTTCATATCTCGTCAACTCCAGTGAGCTTGACAATAAGCGCCTTTTTAGGCAAGCCTTCTTTTAATTTATTTAAGTAGTATTCGGGATTATTTTTCCCACTTACTGATGTACATTGTTAAGTTTGTTATGTTCTTCTCTTTGGGTTTCAGCTGTGATGATTTTCATTTCCTGCTTTACTTTGATAGTCATTTGTCTCTAGTCTCATGTTTAGTTTTGCTTCCTCCCTCCTGTCTTGATTGTCATCACCAGCTGTTTCCAGCTGTTTCCGCTTCCCTTGTTAGTGGGCACTGTCTTCCTGTGTATATATTGTCCTCTACTTCTCCCTTGTTGTGTTGTACTTTTCCTCTGTGTTTTCCCTGGGCTCCTTGTACTTTGGATGTTATACCTCAGTTTTGTTTTTGTTTTTGTCTTTCGGGTTTTTTTGTTTGTTTGTTTGTTTATTTTACTTTTCCAGACAAATAAATGTCTCACTTGTTGTTTTTGAACCTTGTTTTGCTGCATCTTGCATTCGGGTCCAAGCCACAAACATGACACTTACCCTTATAATTTCTATTTTCATTGATTTTCAGTCTTAAGAAGGGCTTCTTCACAGGTACCCTTCCACTGATGCCATTTATGAAGAGGCTTTGGTCAATTGGCAACTGGCTTTGGTACCTTGTTGGAGCAAAAATACTATTTTACATCTGTCAAACTATGCTATCTTTTGCATTTCTCATAGATTTAAATAACAAAATGGGAAAATTTGTTTCTTGGGACAGGCTGCTAGTAATACTAGTTGTTTTTTTCTAATAAGTCGTCTGTTAACACTGTGCATCCCTTGAATCATACCATTTTATGCTTAAATTATAAATTTATTATAAATATTTTATCATGGAAATGCTTGAATATAAAGAACAGGGATTTTCAGACATCACGTCAATTCTTTTGGAGGCAGCTTGTCCCAGTGCAGCTTAAAGATGAGTCTGGACAGTCTTTATCTTGAAGTGTAAGGATGAAGACACACGTGCATATTCTACAAACAGACTCATGGAGATTAATAAGTGATGTTTTTCTTCTGAGTTGCATGTGATCAAAGAACAGAAAGAACTCCTGAGAGTTGTCCTAGTGGGTTTTTCAGTCAAATGCTGCCCTCTGCTGGTCGGAAAAAGGTCTTAACAAAAAACCTGCTTCTTAGTGAAAATTCAAGCACCATTCAGGACGATAACTCCAACTATCAATATATAAAATAAAAACAAAATGTGTAAGATCAAATGTAATCATACACTCAAGCTTTTGAGGGTGGCTATCAATCTGTTGTACATAAAACATGATTTTACTGCCACCTTTGATCTCAATTTCGACATTTTTTACCTCCTGATGTGAAGACTGACCCACATATTTTCATACATATTGTCTCCAGATGGAATCACAGACTCATCATTCCTAATTTGAAGTTCATGGATTTCAAATGATGAAAACATAACTGGGTATAAAATCTGTGAAACCAAATTGTTGTTCGCTGCTCTTTTTGTAGCTAATTATATGAACTAACTAATTAGAAAAAGTGACATGTTGCATTTATATGCATGCCAGATGGGCAGAATGTTGCATTTTTGTGGCTTTGGGAGGCTTATTTGTTTGAGTGATAACTTCCTTGTGTCTCGTTTCCTGCTAACAACCACTGCTCTGCTTCTTATCATTCTTATTATGAGAGATAACACAGTCCCTACGCAACCCTGCAATAGCTTCTCACACGAATTCTGCCTCTGATATGCATCTGTCAGCAGGAACACATTTGAGGTTTGCTCTGTTGCACCTTTTTCAACAGCTTTTTCGCCTGTTTTATAATTATACGGTTCTGAGTAGTTCTGCATGACCAATGACTAAATTTTGGCTTGAAGTGAAGGTCTACAAGGAAATATTAATGACATACAAAAAACAAATATAAAACTCATATAAATTGTTATGCAGGAGATAATCTTACATTTCCCATGTGCACCAGTGGAGTAGACTAAGTGGAGAGGTGGGAGGCCATGCAGCAGTGACGCATGGGTCTCCCTAGGCAGTGTGGGAAAGAAACTTATGGGTATCCATTTAACCTAGCAGGTCAAGAGTCAGGTGTCTGTGAGATTGCCAAAGTGCACTATCAAAACCTGCTTGTAAGGCCTAATTGTATTAAAGAATAAACAGACACAGGCCTCCTACGTAACACGTGTCTTAAAAATGTAAAAACTGATATTTGTTACAAGGTAATACTTGTCCATATCCTCCTCTTTATTCATTTTTATTTTTTTAAAACAAGCCTCTGGTAAAACTGGTAAATGGATAATAGTTTGGTAATACTTTCACCACTGCAGCTTTATTAGACAATAATAATGTGTTTATGGCTTTTTGCACATCTGCCAAGAAGCCAAAAAAATCAATCATTAAAGCTTTGAACCTGCAATAACTTATTTTATTGGCCACTTGAAACAGTTGTAAACGCAACAAGATGCATATAAGCCTGACATACTCCCCTTTCTCTTGCTTCTATTTGCTCTATTTGCTCTGATCTTGATCTCTATAGCAGCTGAATGCTGCTTTGTGGGGAATTGCTTGTGTCTAAATGTATCTGTATTTGCAGTAAGAGTGAAACAAAGCAGTAATGCTCGGCCGGATATATAAACGATGGGCTTAAACTCCCCATAAAGCCCCGTTAAGCTGAGGAGAGCTGCAGATTCAGCTGAAAAGTCTTTTTATGTTTTTATTATTGTAAATCATCCCTTTGTCACTTTCATCACTATGAAAATAAGCATTTATTTAGAAAGTATGCTGGTAATTGTGGTTGTAGAATCTTCCAGTGTTTATTAAGCGAACATAGTGCAATATAACTCTGCTGTAAATCATCTCTGCCTCTATAATCTGTATGAAAACATGGCATCATTCCCTGGAAGATCTGTCAACAGGGAGTATCTCAGCCGCTGACCTCTGGCCTCTGTTATGGTTGTCTGAGCTTGCGCTTGACATGGACCTCCACATATCTCCTGGCTTGACTTGGTGGTCAGTACAGTACCAACTCACCACATAGCTGTGACAGGCAAGATACCGTGGGAATGCTCCCTGTGGTAAAACCCAGTAAGCACTACCACAAATTACTAGGTGTTTAGTCTTGTTGAGTCTAAGCAGAGCAGCAAAGGGTACAATAAGAAAACACAGTACGCTGCCAATCGCTTGGATTGTGTAATGGACTCAGCATGGGCTCTGTCTCCTGCCAGCACTCTCTAAGACCTTGAACTGAACTTACAGATATGCATTGTCCTTCCCTTCTCTGAATTTACGTCAGAAGAAGACCGCAGATGTGTAAAACCTGACTGTTTCACATAGAAGAAATTCAAAGGTGTGTCAAATGCAGACATATTAAAAACTACAACAAGACCTTTGATTAAAAACTGAAGTCGTACTGGATTTTAATCGGAACATTTGGTTAATAAAAATTAATCTTATTTATTTTTTTATCATTATTATTATCATTGTTTTTGTTATTTTCAAGAACAAAACCCCATCTAATGTTGACACAGCTGGCTTGCCAAAGGGTCATACGTGATGTATGACCCTTTGGCAAGCCAGAAAATTGCAGAGAACTTTTTTTTAATATAGTTTTTTTAGCATTTGCCTTTATTAGATAGTGACAGTAGAGACAAACAGAAAAGCAGAGAGAGAGAGGAAGACATGCAGCAAAAAGCCATGGGTCAGACAGGCCACTACTTTTGGGCCACGTGGCATATCAGTACCTGCTCACTCACTGAGTTACACAGGTGCTCAATTTCTCAATTTTGTCTTGACTGTCATGTGTTTTGACAAAGACATCACCTATGACCTATGTAAATGGTTGGTTCAATAAATGTGAACATTTTTCAAAAATGCACTTCTTTAATCCAAAGCGTAAGGGAACCATTTGTGGGTGTTTATGAGGGTTATTACAGATTAGATTTTCTGGTCCGGCCTGCTTTAGATCACACTGGGCTGGCTACAAATGATCTAAAACTAATTTTACACCCCTGATCTAATTAGATGAAATCATCAGCAGATTAGAGAAATAATGTAAAAGTGCACAGCGAGATCTGGATTTAACGTGACTTTAGTAAACAAGCTAATCTATCCTGACAACTCAAAGCATCATTTGGTTTCTTCAAATTTTCTCACAGCCCTTCACACAGGGTCTCCAGGTTACCTACGTCACCAATCTGCAGACCTCTTCACCCCTGCTTTCTGTCGTGTTTTTTTAAGGGGTCAGAGTTCACATCTTTCACTGGGACCTGTTTATCACAGAAGAGGTTGTGTGATCAAGGCAGAGGGGTAGAGTGCAAGGTGGGGGGAGGGACGAAGGGCTTGTTTTCCAGTGGTCACCTCCAGGAAAGCTCCCAACCAGAGCCAGGCCCATGGGTGAGAGCACTTAAAAGAGGGCATGGTATGAAAAGAGTTGAGGTGCACGACATCGGAGAGAGCGAGAGAGAAGAAGAGCCAGCTTTCACAAAACCAGGAAAACCAATTTTTATATACAGAACCGACATCAGTGCCCTGGATTTTCCTCCTGCCATCCGAGAAGTCGCCATGGCACTACTGATAAATCAGTGGATATATTTGGTTGCTCTATCACTGACAGTGACCACGAGCCATGCTTTGAGAAGGTAAAAAAAAAAAAAGAATCATTTACATGCCTACCTTATTTGCTTAAAGGATGTAACTCGCTGGATTTCTGCACTAGCATTATAGATAACATTCTGGAGAAACGTAATGACAGTAAACCATAAATTATATAAGGACATGAAAACAAATGTGTTTTATTGATTCGTTACAAAAGCTAATGATTTCAGCATTTGGGTTCACATGTGTTTTTGTTCATCTGATTGGCTAGGTGCTGAGAGCAAAGTGGTCTGTACTTTGTTAAAGGTTCATACTGAGATTATCACCAGACATATGTAATAGATACATAGCACAGAAAATAAACTCCATGTACCTCTTTAACATGACCTTAGCTATCGAGTTTCCTCTTTGCATTCATTCAGAATGTTTCCTCTTTCCCGCTCTGGTTTCAGAATTACCCTGAAAAAGATGCCATCTATTAGAGAGACTCTGCAGGAGCTGGGAGTTTCTGTAGAGCAGGTGATGACTGAGCTGGCCCAGAAGAGCATAGCTCACACCAACAACGGAACTGTTCCCACGCCGCTAACCAACTATTTGGATGTGAGAAACCTTAATATGATCCATTGATTAGAGCTACAGATGATACGTGTGATAGAAAATATAGCACTGAAACCACCTGTGTTTGCTATTTCAGTTCTGAACATAGAAACAGACTTTATGATTAAAGGTTTCGTCCCTGCTCTTGGATGAGCATTGAGATGTCTTCACGACAACAGCAGATGGACTTCTCTTTGAATTAGCCTCTTTTTATGAGTCAGACTTTCCACGTTTCTCTGTCATTGGCCTTAAAAGTGACATTTAACATGTGGGAAAACTTTTGAAAAACTATTCAATCAACAATGACGTGGGACATTTTTCCACTTCCAATAGACGCAGTACTTTGGAGAAATCAGTATTGGCTCTCCAGCCCAGATGTTCAATGTGGTGTTTGACACAGGCTCCGCCAACCTGTGGGTGCCCTCGCAAAGCTGCTCACCGTTCTCCACTGCCTGTTGTAAGTACATATTCAAACATTTTTTTCTGAACTTAGTGAACTTAATGAAGTTAGAAGATGACAATATGCCAACATTAGCTTATGCTCACTGGCCAAATAAAAAAAAAGATGCAATATTTTAGGGAACATTGTTCATTAAAACTTCCCAGGTAAACATTCGCTGTTGGACTTAAAAACTTTTTCAACTTTCAGTTACTCACAACAGGTATGATGCTTCCAAATCCTGGACTTACATTGAGAATGGAACAGGATTTTCCATCCAGTATGCCTCTGGAAATGTCAGGGGATTCCTGAGCGAGGATGTGGTTGTGGTGAGTTTCAAGTCTGAAACCTACAAATTGAATGGGTTTTGTTTCTTTTTTAAACTTCCTCTTGCACACTACACTTTAAACTTTTGATTAGCAGTGTTTTATTGCTGCAGGTTGGTGGCATCCCAGTAGTGCAAGTGTTTGCTGAAGCCACGGCTCTGTCTGCCATGCCCTTCATCTTTGCCAAGTTTGATGGAGTGCTGGGGATGGGATACCCCAACGCGGCCATTGATGGCATAACCCCAGTGTTCGATCGTATCATGTCTCAACACGTCCTCAAAGAAGACGTTTTCTCCATCTACTACAGCAGGTGAGTATAAGTAAATCAACTGAACTGACATTTTATATGAAAGGCTTTTGCACGAGGAAAAAATAATAATCACAATAATTTAGATGCTGAAGAAAATGTATCAGGCTGTCAATGATATTTATGCTGCAGTGAAAAAATGAACTTGCTGCCAAATGTTGAATTGATCAATCAGAGAGAAAAACACTATAACTATAAATGATGTCTCGTCAGAACATCTGTTAGATTTTAGGATCACGTTTTTTCAATTTCTGCTTGTTGAGCTGAAAAAGTTAGAATTAGTAGAAAAACCCAAACTAGAAGAAGATCATACGAGATGGATTTGGATCTGGGTGAGACACAAGGGTGTTGTGAGAAAATACAGAAAAAAATTTATGTGTATTTTCTCATAGTTCTTTGTCATTTATTATACTTGGTTATATCCAGAATAAACCAGTTGAAAAAATATCATGATGTTTTCTTTTACTGTGGGAAGCGCCATACGAAAGAATCAATTTAAGCTAAAAGAACGTCCCATATGAAATGAAATAGTGAAAAGATATAATAAATGTTTTGTGTTTTATATGTGTTGGATGTCTCATGAAACATGCATTAACCCATGTTTTACTCATGAAATTTGCCTCTTTTGCATTTTTTATGTAAGATTTAAGAAGTAGGTGTAACTCAAATAAACATATTAAAAATTGAGGTGCCTTTGAGATTAAGTTGTAACCGATCATTATTTACTGGCAGAGGGAATGGGATTTTTTGTTTTTACTTACAGAAGTTTGCAAAAATCTTGAGCCACTCCTCATCACTCTACATTTTGCCAGGAAAGTGGTAAATATTTGCAGCGTTTAATTGTAATGTAAGACATGTGAAAACCAGTGAGTTTGAAAGTTAATACTGGTATCACTTGTCTTTGTTAAAACAGCCTAAACTCTCTTAGGCAGGATTTCTCTAAGTAGTCTTCAGAAATAGTTCTTCCGGCTTCTTGAACGATATTTAGCGCTCTTTGTGGTGGGGCATGGCCTGTGATGCCGTGCAGGTGAGATGAACTAACCTGCACGGCATCTACAATCACGCCTCGCCGGCATAAAAAGTGGTGCTTGTTGTCGGTAGTTATTGTTGTTGTGTACATGTGGCTGGCAGCTGGGAAGCTGCAGCTGGGAAGTGTTAGAACAGCAACCGTGTGATAAGTAATAAAGTAAAGTATGCTGAGAAGCATGGAAATGTCATCAGGTCTGCCATGGTTTGTTACACTCTTCTTTGGATGTTGGCTACCGTGGCTCCATTTTTGGTCAAAATGTGATTTTTCTGCAATAGCGGTGTGCTTGGGATCAGCGTGATGCTGAAAAATAAAGCCATTGCTAATTAATTTCCAGATGTTAGTACAGCATACCTCAGTCTTTTCTCTGTGTTCCCTTTCTTGACAGCTGTGCAATAACACAATTTCTGATGAGGTTTCCGGGAACGTTAGATGGGTCAGATGAAGGTTCAGATCCATCTGTCAGATCCTGTGACCTGTCCTCGGTGTATTTTTTCTTAACAACATGACTTTCAGATCCTGCTTATCTGCTATAGATGTTTTCTTCTTTATGCTTGTTTTTGTTAATGGTTTTGTTTTGTTTTTTAGGTGTGGCACTTTTTCTTCTGTCCTCTACTTGTTCAGTTTTCTCACATTTTTTATGGACACACAACACAATACGCTGAGATATTCCAGGTTTTTGGCTACTAGCTCTTTGAGAATCACCTTGTTGCTGAAAAAAAATACTACTTTATGCCTGTCAGACCATTCTGTCTCTGACATTTTTCACAGATAATGAAATGGGAACAAACTGTGCTTTTGCAAGACGCTTAATAACATGCCCAAAGATTTGATTGTGATTTGGGTGTGTTCTTTGTTCTGAGTTGTCGGTTATGTGGGTTCATCCCTTGAGTTAGATGCCATTTGTGTGCTTGAATGATTTATAGGTCAGTGTTAAATGGCTTAAAAAACAAACAAATAAAAAAGCAACACAAAAAAACATTCACCTGGACTGAAGTACTGGACTGAAAGTGAGTGAGAAAGAAGCACATGTCCAAAGAAAAATGTTGAAAGATCTTCAGAAATCCTGGAACAATATTGCTCAATACCAATTTCAAAAGCTACAAGAAAGTCTGACTCCTTGGAAACAAAATATAAAGAAATGTGGGGTGGCTCAAGTCTTTTGCACAGTACTGTACTTTTAATATGTGATATAGCTCAGCAACCTGTGTGAACCAGCAAAATTACAATTTCTACTGTCAAAGAGAAAATGCACAGCTTTAAGGGTGTTTTGTTTATCATTTTCAGGGACCCAAAACGCTCCCCAGGCGGAGAGCTTGTCCTCGGTGGAACAGATCCAAACTACTACACTGGAAGTTTTAATTATATGAACACCAGACAGACAGGCAAATGGGAACTTACCATGAAAGGGTATGATCTTTATTTGCTATCATGTAATGTGTTTTCATGAGTACGAAGGTGCAGCCATTCAGAAAGTACATGTGTTTTCATTTCTACCTCCTCTTTCATTCCTTCAGTGTTTCTGTGGGGAGGGAGATGATGTTTTGCGCAGAGGGCTGCACAGCTGTGATTGACACGGGCTCCTCCTACATCACAGGCCCGGCCTCCTCTGTGTCCGTGCTGATGAAAACCATCGGAGCACAGCTGGATGAAAGTGGAGTAAGCTTTTACACACGCAACACAGTTTCCCACAAAAAAGCATGTTTGCAGAAATTCATGAGTTGTCACCAACTATTACTCTATGTTGTTTGTCAGTACAAAGTCAACTGTGATACTGTGAAGACGCTACCCAGTGTCACGTTCCACCTCGGTGGCCAGGAATACTTGCTTACACAGGAGGATTATATATTATGGGTGAGAGTGTTGATGGATGCTGAACTGTATTAACATAGGCATGCATTGTTCAAACGTAAATCAGTTCATTTACCCAAGTACTACAGCCAAGTACACTGTTGTGGTACTTGCAATTTAGTGAAGTATTTCTATTTTTTTAAATAGATTTTTACAGCACTACGTGTATTTTAATTCTGCTGTTGTAAATTGTAATATTAGGCTTATAAAATATGAAAATTAGGGACCACACCAGTAATCCCTTTATGCAGATAATACTTTTGAGTACAATTTTAATAGTAGACATTTACTTCTAGCACTTTGTTTTGTGTGTTATTGTGTTATAATACATCTGTTCTTTGTGGCTCCAGCAATCACAGATCGAAGGGGAAGTCTGCACCGTCACCTTCAGGGGCTTGGATGTGCCGCCCCCTACAGGTCCCATATGGATTTTGGGAGCCAACTTCATTGCACGCTACTACACAGAGTTTGATCGCCGCAATAATCGGATAGGGTTTGCCACAGCAGTCTGACAGGAATTTAAATATTCACAACATTCTTCTGTTTTCTTGTTGTTTTCGTTGCTATCTCCTGATGTTTTTAATTTTAGTCCGGGTCTTCCCTTGCTTGGTTTTTACGTGAACACATGACCTGAATAAGTCGTATTAAAGAAATTGTAAGGGATGCATATTAAGGAATGTCATCCTCACATTTCTTGCATGCATGCATGCATTCCTTTTCTATATTTGGGAACCAGTTGCACTAAACCCCTTCTGAATATGCATTCACCAACAAATACAATGTTTCTTTCTGTGTGACTTGCTTATTGTATTTGTCATACAGCCACAACCGAATTATATATATATTGTTCTGACGAAATAATAAAATTGAAGTTTCAAGTTGAGTCTAAATTTGCTGCATTTTTTCCTTCTAGGTCTGGCTAATGCATTATATGACCATGTGGAAGTCAAGGCTGAACTTGGAAACAGATTGCTGTAGCAGATTTAATCAACCACACCGCAGTCTTCACAGAAATATTTGTCATTGTCGCTTAATAATATAAGGATGCCTATTTTTAGGTGACTATTGGGTATACAAGTAAACGTCAGCCATAGAGTATGTGCTAGAAAGTGTAATGTGAAACCTTGCTCTGTTTCATTCCAGTTATGTCGGCACATTGTGACTTTCATTTACGCAACTAAAAGTTACAATAGGAGTGAAACCCGGCTGGCGTCATGTCAGTTAGTTTTCAAACTCAAATCATGCTTTTTCAAGTTTTTCAGCAGTGTACGATCCCTGTCTTTGGGAGTTGCCTTTTTCTGCAGCAAAACAAGTTACTCTGCTTCAGCTGTTTTTACCAGAGTAAATCTCATTTATAAAACGCTCTGAAATGACAAAACCTTTGGAGAAAAAAACAAAACAAAATGCCGACCTTTAAGGTCGTTCAACGAGTGAATAAAAAAGGAAGGCATTTCTGCTTGCTTAGCAGACAGAGGACACGCAGATTTAAAAAAAAAAAAAATCATAGATAACAATCTAAAGATGTAGATTTGTCATGTGCTCAGGTCAGATCTTTTTGTTCCACTTTCTCTGAACTGGTTAAGGAAGTCCTCTCATACTACAGCAGAGCGACAGTGGAGATGTCATGCTTCCTCGCCCCTCACATCCATGAATTGTCTGCTTTGGATTTTATCTGTTGATAGAGTGCAGAGAGGCGAGGGTTGATACTGGCACTCGATCAAGAGTCAAAAAACTGCAAAAATGTATCTTTTAGTGTGAGTCAACAACTATCTGAGCTGCAAACCTACTTAAACAACCAATGTTTTGTAAGATGCAATCTATGTTAATCCTACCAAATATTTTTTAACTGTAAACTGTATAAAACTAAAAAATTAACATGCAGGCAGCAATGTTGCTCAAAGAGATCCCATGGTATCTTTGTTATTAGTAACATTAATAGTTTTGTCTAATGTGATACAATAAACATTTGAAAAACAGTTTATCACAAATTAAAATGTACACATTAAACTAAAAGACAGTAGTTTATATATCTGTACTTTTAAGCTAATTCAAGATCTTTCAAGAACTAACCAAGTCTCCCTCACACGACGTTTAAAGCATAGTGCCATCTTATCATCTGCAGAAAAGCAAAACCATGAAATGTTAGACTCTGGTGTTTATGTGAAGAATTTGTAACCAACAGAGCTGGAATAGGTGCTTCCCTTCATCTATTTGTGTACATTTAACCAATAAGCATTTTCAAAAGGTCAGAGAATCCTGTTATAGCTTAAATTAAGTGATGGGTGATTACCCTTACACACTGGAATTTGTTTAAGATATCATCTTTTCTTTTCAGAAGTGGGAGTTTGTGTTCCAAAAGGGAATATCAGTTCAAAGTGAGCCTTTTAAATTTAAGACATGCCTGTAGCTGGTGCAGTAATTATTGATGTAATTTTAGAATTGACAATAACCCAACCCACCCTTGAAGTCTCATCCTGGTGTACATTTAAGAAAATAACAAAATTAAATAAATCACATATGGTATAACCTTCGTAATTCTACTGTTGTATTTTTTCATGCAGGATCCTCCATATTTTATATTTACCATACACCAAACAACTCCAACATAAAAAAACTATTGATGTTGACAATATGGATAGTGTTGTGCAATGTCTTGCTCCTTCCCAGCTAATGAAATGTTATTGCTGACCAGACCTGCCCTTTTCAGCCTCCTCCCTAGCAGAATGCAGCCACACTGGAAAAAAAGATGCTTCTCACGAGCTGGGCAAAGAGGTTAGACGCTATGGCCAAGCTCCCCAGATCTGAGCTACTGCTATGTGCACGAGAACAAGCCAGATGCACTAAGCTCATATCTGCAAGCATCTGCTATCACCTCCCAGTATCTGGACACTACTACCCACAGGACAACACTATAGAGAACCAGTGTCCACGTTCCAACAGGTGAGACTTGTCTTTAGTCTTGGTTTTAGGATTGTGGCTAATCAGTGTTTGGTGTTTACATGGTTAGTCCCAGTTTGCTTAGCAACAAAAATTTCCCGGTGCTGCAAAAAGCAATGTACCATTTAACATAAAGTGATTCAAGATAAGCACAAGAGGAAAGTCACTGAAACAGATTCAATAGAATTTTATGAAAATAAATTAACAAAAACATTTGGTGGGTGGAAGAAGGAGGCCAAGTGAACACATGGTACAGCTTTTATAGGCTGGAAAGGAGTTCAATCTCTGACATCCGCCCACCACTACAACAAATCAAAAAGTTGTTTCTTCATTACAACTCAAAAACCACACTGCCTGCAGTTGGAAAACAAACCACAGTCTGTTTTGCCAAAATTCCAGCAACCAAAACAAACTGGAGTTAATACATGAGCACTAAACTGAAGTAACATACCCAAAGGTTTCTCTAAAACAAGCCTCACTAGCCAACCAAAAAGAAAACCAATGGAAAATCTTGCATAAAAATCTAAACCATGGACTATGGGACTAACTGAAGTTCTTGAGCCCCATTTTTGGTCAGAACTACAGGCCAACCAAAAACTGGCAACCTTCTGGAAATGCTCTCTAGACAGTAGGGTTGCCAGAAAAAGAAAAGATACTCATACAGACCATCAGATTAGACACTCATTTGCAACACTATCAATACCAGTTGTGCTGTGTTCACCTCCTTTGGTTGAAAATCAAATTATTGTGAAATGTTTTTAGTGGTCTTTAATGGTCTTAAAACTGATGATGATTTACATCATAAATAATGACACACTCCTATTTCATATTTAAACTGTCTTTATACTTTAAAAGTATCACTACTGGTATAAGCAATACTGCTCCTGTATTTATTTGGTATCAGTTTGCAGCATTGCACAGCTCTTCTTCACACAGTACTACTTCAGATAGGCAAGTGCAAAGCCCCTCCCCCCACTAGCAGCCAAACACAGGAACAGTAGTGCAACAACACTAGCCAAGAATCTTAAAGAACCCCTGGGTTTTATAAAGAATTTCAAGAGGCCAATAAGGCTTCTTTTTCAACATGAAGCATTAAGCATTTATCATAAACATTAACCTGGCCAGTGCACATTAAAAATAGCCGTTAAACGCTTAACAATTACCTTATGGCAGTTTTGGCCACATTAGCTGTCTGTTAAGCTATCATAAACAAAGCAGCTAGATAACAATAATAAAACTGTAGGAGCTGTTAATTTAACAGGATAACATAATTATTTATGTCTAAAAAAATTTTATTAAGCACCAGCATTATGGACAAGTCTTGGGGGTTCAGGCACATCATAAAAACATAACTAATTTTTTTTTTTACATTAAGTTAGGAGAAAAGGTTAAAAAAAAAACCAATGCTAATTAGTTACTGCAGCCCAAGCAAGAAATAATTATTGAGATATTCCACAATCAATTCTTTGTGGCAGAGAGGAAGCATTTAGGAACAATAACAACTCAGCTAAGAAGTGGTTGATCAAGCAAAGTGACAGAGGAGCAGAGACTGCTGAGGTGCACGTTGATTAAAAGTCGCCAGCCCTCTTCTAACTCGGTAATTTCTAAGGCTCAAACGTCCTCTGGCATTAGCATCAGCTCAAAAACTGTGTGCTGGGAGCTTCATGGTGAAGCCACTCCAGTAGGTGTAATGTGAAGATACTCTAATCCATATGGTGTAGTTTTAAAGCATGGACTTTCTTAAAAATTGCAGATGACAGCATGGATGCACTCTTTTTTTAAATTTTTGTTTGTATTTTTTATTTTATTTTTTGTAGAATAGTAAAGTGACTTGACCCAAATGCCAAACCCATCAAAGTTGTTTGCCTGTCAAGTTCAAATACTCTGTGCCAACACTGGTGTTATGTTCCTCTTGAACTCCCAGACTGAATCTGAGAAAGAAACCTACCCTTTCAACTCCATTTGCTAAGCAATGCAATATGGTCCGAATTTGCTGGAAGCATAGAAAGTAAATAGGGCTGTAGTGGTATACATTTGCACATAGCAGTCTTATTCTGTTCTTTTTTTCTTTTTCTTTTTTTAAATATGCACATCTTAATTTACTTATTTTTCCTCCTGTGATATTGAACATAGCATTAAGTACTGACGATTTCCTGGAGATTGGTATCACCTTTGAAATTCTAGTATCATGAAAGCCCTACTCTAGAGACAATGCCATATTTTGAAATGAAAAACATCTTGTTTGGCCTCCTGTATATCAACCACTTCAGCCTACAAAGAGTAGCTCATGTAAAGCATAATGTAGCCATAATCATTCAAAAAAACATACCAAAGAAAACTGGGACTTATACTGCATTCTTCCAACATCAACCATAACTAAGTCAATAAGGATTAAAGTATCCACCCCCAGCGCCCAACAGTTCTGGGAACTGGCCCAATTTTTCTTTTTTTTTCAAACCCTTGACTTGAATCTATAGATCACTCCACAGAGGTCCTGTTTTGTCCCCTTGTACTCGTGCCTTGGCAATGCATGCTGGATCTTTTCCAGTAAGTCAAAACAGCTTCAACCTTCAATATGATTTTAATTTTCGGGAAGCAGATTAAATTTGAGTGAGGAAAATATAGCAAGTTGGCTGGTGGTGAATGAAGACTGTCTGGCCTGCTGTGTTTTAACACACAACGGTTTAGATTATTACAGAAGAGGGCTGACAACATAACCATCGGGTGTGAATTCACAATTGGCAAACTTGATTGGTCTGAGGACAGTGAATGAACCTTTATTGGGTAGCTCAAGCTATCTTAGTTTTAATATTTGTTAATTTGGTAAAAAATGATTTTATTACTTGCCTGTTGAGGCTTT